TTTTTTAATTATCTTTCTTAATATATTACTCTTTCTTAATATTAATAATGAATATTGATAATAGCAGCTATTTCAAATAATTATGAATAGTTTTAATAAATAACGATATAGAGAATTGATTTTTGGAAAATCAACTGAATATCATATTAATATATTAATAAATGCGTTATTGGGTACACTGTGTAGTGTGCCCGATGAATATAAAAATTTGTAATTAAGCTCCAAATTGTATTTATTCAAAATTTTCATTAAAAAAATGTAATCATATATATATTCAAAATTTTGGGTTTTCAAAAAATATTTATTCACAAACAAACTATATTTAAAGTATTCATATTTATTCAAACAAAATATAAACTGATAAAGAAAGCTTCAATAAGCAAGCATTATAACTATAACCGTTTGATAACTTTAAAATATGAATTATGCCTCCAGGTCTCGTCCAGATGGATAAATAATTGTAGTAGTGCGTCTGCGCACGTCCTGCCAACAGAATTCAAAATCTCTAGGGGAAAAAAAAAAAGATATTTTTCCCTTTTCCGTACCGTTTCCCTCGCCGTGCGTGCTCGGCCATCTTCATTGTGTTTTTGTTCACGTCAACCAACACTTCAAGTTCTGAATCTTCTCATTTTGCCGTATCTTTTAGCTTGCAAATTATGTCAGACTCACGTTCACGCAGTCGCTCAAGAGCAAGAGATCATAAGCGACATAGAAAACGCTCCCAGGAGTACGGGAGAAAACGCGCGAAGTCACATTCTCGTCTGCGCGAGGTTAAGCGCTCTCGTCTCTTTTCTGAGGAGCGTTCGCAGTCATCCTCGTCGAGGGCTTCACCAGGGGTCGGCGATGCAGTTCTCCTAGAAAGAATTCTCGACGCAGTACAGGAACAGGAGCGAAAAATAGCCTGTTTGGAAAACGAGGTTAGGGGACACGCTCTGCGTTCCCCAGAAACACAGCCACAAGATGAGCTGACGGCTCCTGAGAGCCGGGGTATCGAACCAGGTAAGCTCCCTTGTCGACCCTCTTTTTCTCTTGAAAATTGGCAAAGAGGGGGCTTAACCGACAGCTCTTCTGCGGCACAAAAACTCACGTCCGCTCGCCGGCGTTCTTTGCAGCCTCAAGGCCAGATCCGGTGGAGCGTTCGGTTACCTTTGCGGCAACGGATCCCGAGCAGGACGGTGAGCCATCTCTCGTTAACCAACTTTTTCGCACGCAGCGGGACTCGCTTGAGAAATTATCCTGGGACCAAACCATACTGGATTTTACTAAGTCTATCGTTCGGACCGGTTTGCCAAATGAGTTGCGTACACAGCTCCTGTCTAAATTTGAGATTAAAGAGGCACTTTTAATTTTAGGCCCGCCTAAACTTAACAGGATGCTTCTTTCAGTACTGAAGGCCTCTTCGACGGTATCTAAAAGAGACGAATACCAGTCTCTGGCTCAGTTGCAGGTAGCGGCTGCCCTCAACGCATTAGGCATGGGCCTCTCTTATCTCACGAAGCCCGAGGTGTCCTCATGTCTACCAGAGGATGCAAAGTCGGCGCTCAGCCAAATCGCTGAGGCCACACAGCTATTAGCGGATCATCAATACAGGCTATCCTTGGCCAGACGAGCCTTCATAAAACCGGCCCTGAACCTGCTGGGTAAATCGCCAGCCGATCTGGCTCCAATAGTGGCTTTTCGGCACTTCTTTCGTGGACGAGGTTAAGGATGCACAGGCTTGCGAGAAAGTGGCTCGAGTCCTCGCCAGAACTCCCGCAGCAACTTTTAAGGTTCTCCCGCAGTCGGCGGGAAAGGTCCAATTGGCACGAAAACAGGTTTCGTCGGGAAATGCGAAAGCCCCTGCCCGTCAGTCGAATCAACCTTATCGCCGAGCAGGAGCTTACCAATCGAAAAATCGATCTCGCAGATCACTCTCCCGCTCCCGCGCTCACCGCCGTTAAACACGGTAAGAACTGCAGGCCGTCTAGCTAACTTTCTGCACGAATGGGAAGCGTTGACATCGGATTCTGAGGTTCTGAGCGCCATAAGAGGGTATAAAATTCCTTTTGAATCAAGGCCACCGTCGCGTTCTCAACTTAGAGAACCAGTTTTTGCTGCCGCGACGTCGGCCTACTGTACAACAGAAATAGGGAGACTGCTAGAAAAAGGGGCCATCTATCCGGTACAGCCGTCGTCAGATCAGTTTCTATCTTTCTTTTTAATCGAGAAAGCCTCTGGGGGCATGCGCTTTATCCTCAATTTGAAAGATCTCAATGCTTATATTGATCCCCCGCATTTTAAATTAGAAGCCTGGCGGACGGTAGTACGTTTAATGCTGCCGGATGTCGAGATGGCTTTCCTTGATCTTGAAGACACATATCTATCAGTATTAATTCATCCTTCTTACAGGAAATATCTGAGATTTCAGTGGCAAGATATTACTTACAAATTTAGCGCTCTCCCATACGGCCCCGTATATCTTCACCAAGATTCTACGCCCGGTCGCGTCCCTTCGGGCCGAAGGTTACGAGTCCGTGCTGTGACGATTTTCTCCCTTTAGCCCACTCGAAAGAGGCCTGTCGTCGGAATGTCCAGACACACATCAACACCCTCTCGGAGTTGGGTTTCATTATTAACTTTGGAAAGTCGGAGCTAGAACCCGCACGGCAACGTAAATACCTTGGTTTCGTTTTCGACTCTGAGGCACAGTCTGTTGCGATCCCGGAACAGCGTCGGAAAAAATTGCATTCGCTTGTTTCAAGCTTTTCGGCTAAATTCTGCTGCTCAATCAAACATTTCGCGAGTATGATCGGATCCCTTATTTCCGTCTGTCCGGCAGTAAGATATGGCCTTCTGTATACAAAGGCATTCGAAA